CTCCCCTGCTGTCACCAGGTTTTTGTGGGGACACATTTTCAGCTCATTTAGGTGAATATCAAGCAGTGCGGTTGCTGGGTCTGATGGTAAGAGTGTGTTTAATTTTGAAAGAAACTGCCAAACTGTCTTCCAAAGTGGCTGTACCATTTCACATACACACCAGCAGTGAATGAGAGTTCCTGTTGCTCCACATCCTCACCAGCATTTGATGTTGTTGGTGTTCAGATTTTAGCCATTCTAATAGCTGTGTAGTGGGTATTTGTTTTAATTTACACTTCCATGACAAAGGTAGTGGAGCATCTTTTCATGTGCTTATTACAATCTGTCTATCTTCTTTGTTCAGGTCTTTTGTCCATTTTTTAATGAGTTGTTTGTTTTCTTATTGTTGAGTTTTAAGAGTTCTTTGTATATTTTAGATAGCAGTTCTTTATCGAACATGTTCTTTGCAAATATTTTGTACGAGTCCAAGGCTTGTCTTCTTAATCTCCTGACGGTGTCTCTCACAGAACAGTTTTTAATTTTTATGAAGTCTGGTTTATCAATTTTGTCTTTCATGGATTGTGCCTTCAGTGGCACCTAGAAAGTCACTGTCACCCTCAAGGTCATCTAGATTTCCTCTTAAGTGTTTTATATGTACACGTTTTACATTTAGGTCTATAATCCATTTTGAGTATTTTTTTGCATGTAGATGTACAGTTGTTCCAGCATCGCTTTTGAAGAGACTATTGAAGTCTTCCCTTCACTTCAGTCTTCTGGAAGAGATTGTAAAGAGTTGGTATTATTTCTTACTTAAATGTTTGGTAGAATTCACCAGTGCATCTGTTTGGGCCCGGAGGTTTCTGTTTTGAAAGGCTATTATTTATTGATTCAGTTACCTTAGTAGCTACAGGCCTATTCAGTTTGTCTATTTCTATTTGTGTGAGCTTTGGCAGATTGTGTCTTTCAAGGAATTGGTCCATTTCATCTAGCTTATCAAATTTGTGAGCATAGAACTGTTCATGTTATTACTTTATTTTCCTTTTAACATCCATAGGTTCTATAGTGATATCCTCTTTTTGTGTGTTCTGTCCTTTTTGTTTTTTGCCTGCATAGAAGCTTACTGATTTTATTGATCTTTTCAAAGAATCAGCTTTATTTCAGTGATTTTCTCTATGGATTTTTTTTTGATTTTATTAATTTCTGCTTTTATTTTTATTATTTCTTTTATTCTGCTTACTTTAAATTTAACTTGCTCTACTTTTTCTTGTTTCCTAAGGTGGAAGCTTGTTGACTTTAGATCTTTCTTCTTTTCTAACATGCATTTAATGCTACAGATTTTCCTCTTGGCACTGCTTTTACACATCACACAAATTTTGCTATTTTGTATTGTTATTTTCATTTGGTTAAAAGTATTTTAAAATTTCTCTTGTGATTTCTTCTTTGACCATGTGTTATTTAGAAGTGTGTTCTTTATTCTCTAAGTATTTTAGAATTTTCCAGCTATCTTTCTGTTACTGATGTCTAGTTTACTTTCTTTGTGGTCTGAGAGCAGACATTGTATGATTTCAATTTTTAAAAAATTTGTAAAGGTGTGATTTTTGTTCAAGAATGTAGTCTATTTTGATGAATGTTTCACATGACCTTGAGAAGATTGCATAATCTGCGGTTGTTGGATGAAGTCACCTATAGATGTCAATTAAGTTGATTGATAGTACTCTTGGGTTCCACTATGTCCTTACTAATTTTCTGCTGATGGATCTATTCACTTCTTTTAGGGGATGTTGAAGTCTCTAACTATAATAGTGGATATGTCTGTTTCTTCTTGCTGTTCTATTAGTTCTTGCCTCACATACTTTGTTGCTTTATTATAAGACAGATATACCTTAAGGATTGTTACCTCTTCTTGGAGAATTACCCCTTTATCATTACGTAATGCCCTGCTATATCCCTGATAATTTTTCTTGCTTTTGCTCTGTCTGAAATTCATATAGGTACTCCAGCTTTGTTTTTGATTGGTGTTTCCATGATATATCTTTTTCCATCCCTTTACTTTTAATCTATATGTGTCTTCATATTTAAAGTGAGTTTCTTATAGACAATATATAGTTGGGTCTTGTTTTTTCATCTACTCTGACCATCTCTGCCTTTTAATTAGTATACATAGGCCATTGACATTTAAAGTGATTACTGATATAGTTAGGTTAATATCTATCTTATTTGTTAATGTTTTCTATTTGTTGCCCTTGTTCTTTGCTCTTATTTTTCTCTTTGGTCATCATTAAAAAAAATTTTTTTTTCTGTCATTCTCCCTCCTCTGAGACTCAAATTACATTTATGTTAAAATGCTTAATATTGTCTCATAGGGCATGGATACTCTTTCAGTTTTTTATAGTGTTTTTCCTCTGTGTGCTTCATTTTGGGTTGTTTCTGTTCCTGTGTATTCTACTTCACTTATCTTTTCTTCTGCAGTGTCTAAAGTGCTGTTAATCTCTTCAATGTGATTTTTATTTCATTTAATATATTTTTCATCTTCAGAAGCTTCATATTATATATATATATGAAATATATACATAAAAAAAGAAAGATATGTATTTATCTTGTGTATCATATATATCATATATCTTTTATTTCTCTCTGCTACTTTTTGGTTGAATGCTGGATATGGCAAATTTTATTTATTGGTGCCTGATTTTGTTTTTATTTGTTTTTTTTTTTTGAACCTATGGGTACTGAGAGCCATAGGTGATTTTTATTTTACTTTATTTATTTTATTTTTTTAAATTTTTATTTATTTATGGCTGCATTGGGTCTTAGTTGCTGCACACGGACTTTAGTTGCGGTGAGCGGGGGTTACTCTTCGTTGCGGTGTGTGGGCCTCTCACTGCGGTGGCTTCTACTCTTTGTTGTGGAGCACGGGCTCTAGGCATGCGGGCTTCAGTAGTTGTGGCTCGTGGGCTCAGTAGTTGTGGCTCGTGAGCTCTAGAGCACAGCCTCAGTAGTTGTGGCACATGGGCTTAGTTGCTCTGCGGCATGTGGGATCTTCCCGGACCAGGGCTCATACCCGTGTCCCCTGCATTGGCAGGCGGATTCTCAACCACTGCACCACCAGGGAAGTCCGCCTGATTTTGTTATATTCTTTTAAGTAGTGTTGGACTTTGCTCTAGTGAGTAATTAAATTATTTGGAATAAGTTAGATTCTTTTTTTCTTTGCGGTACATGGGCCTCTCACCACTGCAGCCTCTCCCGTTGCGGAGCACAGGCTCCAGATGCGCAGGCCCAACGGCCATGGCCCACGGGCCCAGCCGCTCTGCGGCATGTGGGATCCTCCCGGACCGGGGCACGAACCCGTGTCCCCTGCATTGGCAGGCAGACTCTCAACCACTGCGCCACCAGGGAAGCCCTAAGTTAGATTCTTTTGAGGCTTGCTTTTAAGCTTTTAAGTGGCTCTGGGGCAGCCTTTAATATAGTACTTATTTAACCCTACTACTAAGATTATGCTTTTCTAAAGACTCTATCATCTCAGGTAGTAGGAACCATTCTGCCTGCTGAGAACACAGAGTATCCCTGGCCCTATGTGAGGTCTGAGATTTGTCTAGTCTATAGCTTTCTGGAACTTATTTTCCTGCCTGTGGGAAGTTTTCATCCACACATGCACAGACGAATACGTAGCCAAAGACTTGAAGGAACCCTTCTGTAGATGTCCGCTTAGTCTCTCCCTGTGCGGGTTCTTCTGTTCCAGTATTCTGCCTTACAAATCCTTGCTGCCTTGGCCTTCCTAAACTGTAGTCTCTGTCTTCACAACTCAGCAAGAGAGAAAACTGAAAACTCTGAGTTCTGATATCCCCGTCCCTACTCTGTGACTTTGAAACTGTGTCTAGCTAGTAAACTAAGGCTCACCTATTTTATTTCTCCTATCTTTGGGGTCACTGTTTTCCAGTGTCAGAAACCTTTGTTTCCTATTTTTGGTCTGTTTTATAATTTTTTAGGGTAAGAAGGTAAACCTTGTCATGGTTACTCCATAATGTCCATAAGCAGGAGTCCTGCAGTTGGCATTTTGCATTTCCTTTCTTCTGTTTAGAGGTAATTTTATAGGTTGTTTTTGCTGACATGTAGGGAGTGTGGTGGTCTTTGCTTCCTAGTTTAAGTCATTGTCTTTCTCAGTATCTTGCTAAGAAGCCTCTGTTGCTTACATAGGAAATCATGTGTTGCTGGGGACAGTTTGGTTCTCTTCTTTGTAACAGAGGACGCGATGTCCTAAGCAGAGGTGTTACAGATTTTGCCTCACATGTGGCATCATTTCTTAGAATACGCAACAACTTGGCCATTGGTTTTTCTCCCACTGCATGTGGTTTTAGGCATATTCTTCAGCGGATGAATTCACCACCTTCTCCGTTCTTGGGTCGTGAATCTGTAGGCTTGAATTCTGTTCTGAGAGCCAAAGCTTTGCAACATGCTGAGTTGGTTGGTTTGCTGCCTGGAAAATTGTTAGGGCAAAATTGATACTTTGACTGGGGAAGGAAAGAGGCAGATTTTCAGATGAAAGATGTTCAACTCCAAATAATACAAAAAAAATTTGGCTTATTCTAAAGGCATGGGTAGAATTAGATGTATCATGAGAAAGGGAAAGAAGTTCAGCCCATAAATAGTGGTGAGTGGATATCATAAGACTACAAATAAGTAGGGTAACCCTATAGCCTGTTTGCTAAGGACAGTCCTGGTTTATGCCTGTTGTCCTGCAATAATTATTAATAACATCCCCTTTCACTATTGAAAGTATCATGGTTTTTGATGGTTTTATACCATATGACTATATATATATATATATATATATATGTCATCCTACTTACAAAGAACGGTTTAAAGAATACATGGTAATTGTTAATTCTTTGGTTCTTGTCTTTCTTCTTGAATGATGGATTTACTGTTTACTTTGTATTTTAGTGAAGTAGTATTCAGTGACTGATAAGTGTGTGTTGGGTGTTTTTTCTGTTTTTTTTTAATTTTTGGTACTTTTCCTGCAGATGATCTCAATGCCACCCACCAACACTGTGTTTTGGCTGGTTTACCACCTCGGTTTAGTTCCACCCACCGAGTGGCAGAGGTAAGTGTAAATAAAAATGTGACTCAAACTTAATTGGATGTGACAGAAGTGGTTGCATGAGCAATTTATCACAGAACTTTGGAAGAATATTTGATAGGAAAATTGCTTCCATCTAACTAGACTTTAGCCTCTATTTACTTGCTTTTTTAGCTTTGAGTTGTGTTGGATCCAGTTTTAAAAAGTGTGTTCACAGCCTGGGATAAGTATATTTTGCTTCTTTGGGGTTATGTTTCTCGGAAAAGGTGCCAGCAAGAGGGCACCTTGGCAGGTGTTGCTGGTTAGAGATTTTCTAAGGGGTTTGTGTCTGTCAAGGTCAAGGGCAGGAGATGGCCAGAACAAAATAGTAGATTTGTGTGCTTGTGCATGTGTTAGCTGTGACTGGGCTCAGATGGTTGAGAATTTATATTTCCCTTAACTTTTGGGTCAGGCTTCCGGGCATGTGCATGTAAATGAAGGAGAAAGTTACAGTGGTGCCAGGGAATTTCCAAACTCCGCAGTTGCGTTTCTAACCCAGACTTTATTGCTAAATTCTGCCAGCACTTGCAGTGGCTGATAGCTGATTAGACTAGCTCAGAATGGAAACTTAAGAGATGAGGGAAGCCTTTAGTAGTCACCCTGGAGTATTGTGTGTGCTCAGTTAAGAAGTGTTCCAGAGAGCAGGGGAATGATCATGAAAAGGATTACAAGTTGACCTCGTATCCAAGCTTGTCCTCTGTGCTTTGCTTTTATAGCTTGACTTTTCATTGTACCACAAGGGGACCAGTGTGAGAAAGTTGGGCAGACGGGATACAGTAAAGTGGCAGGGAAACACAAGCACAAGACCTTTCCAGTCCTGAGACTGTGTGAGTCTATAAGGCAGTGTCATGTCTTTTGGTATTTAGGTAGCTTTTCTAATGGACTGGTCATTTTGCTAGGTGGCAGAGAGGACACGAGTGTCTGTTTAAATCAAGATGCCAGCAAACCCATCAAGCATTCCTTCCCCCTTTTCTCCCTTTCTTCTCTCTTCTATTCATTCATTCATCTAAATATTTGAGTGTCTGTTCTGTGCCCAGTAGCACTAGAGGCATGAGAGAGAGAGAGCCATCAACATGACAGGTATGGCCACTAGCTTTGCTGAACTTCCATTTTAGTTTGAGAGACAAATATTAAATAGATAAAAACACAAATAATTACCTTAGAGACCTAAAAAGGTAAGTTCTGTTAGGAAGGAGTGAGTGAAGACAGGCAAAAAAGAGTGAGCAAGCATTTATAGAGCATCTAATACATGCTTTGTATTGTACAAAAAAGACTTCATTTTTTGTATAATACAAGATGATATAGACCTCTGTCTTTCTAGCTAGAACTCTCCTAAGAATTCTTTTGAGTATGTGGCTACTTATGTGTATCTTTGCACCTTTCCTAATCCAATCTGGAAGAGTGGACAAGACGATTAGTGCTGTGCTCAGAGGGTTGGTACAAAATGATGAATAAGAAGTTTCACAAAATGTATTTGATGAGGGTAACAATCATATTTAATTCATAGGGTTCTTGTGAGGATTAAGTGGTTAATACATGTAAGTCTTTTAGAACAGTGGCAGGTATAGAGTATGCATTCAAAGAATGTTAGCCACTACTACTATGATTAAATTACTACCGCTGCTGCTGCTGATGCTGCTACTATTACTACTACTGTCTTTTCAGTTATCCTGATGAAAAGCTAGTAGGAGACAGGAACAACGAAAGCTCTTTGTGTGGAAGGCTATTCTGTCTCCATTTATACACTAGAATGTATGTAATGAAGCAAGAGAACTTAAGTCATCAATGAGTCTTTAATTGGAAGCGTTGCTATTAACTGAAAGCTACTACTCAGAAGAAGGGAAGTGATTTTAGTTCTTTCATCCATTCTGCAAACTTTCATTGAAATTCCCAGTGCTCAAGGTATTCTTTTAGACACTTGTGCATGGGTAGAGTGCAGAATACAGAGTAGCAAACAGCATAAGGCTTCACGAGTGACATGACATGTAAGACTTGAACATGTAGGGATTAGGGGATTTTAGGACATTTTAAGACATTTAAGAGTCCTCATCCCATTAGGTGGAAATCTTGTGATTGGAATGGGATGGGGATACAAAGGGAGTATTGAGTGGCTCAACTTTGACTGAATCCCAGGATGCCAGAAAGGGAGTGTTGGCAGATAAAGGCTGATCCCTGAATGACTGGATTGTGAAAGATCTTGGATATCAGGTTAGGTGTGTTTTAACTTAAGTTGGTTCAGGTGGGGGTTATTGATGATTTATTTATTGCAGTAGTGACATATTGGAGATGTCTTTAAGAAGATGAAAATGATAGAGACATCAATTAAACCTGTTGGTCTGAATTAAGGTCATGGCAACAGGAAAAAAGAAGAAATTCCCTTGACTAATGTAGGAGACATAGTGACAGACTTGGCAACTGATTGAAGTGGAGGGAGGAATGTAAGAATGAATGAGTGAGTGGATGAATGGATGAACAAATGAATGAATGAGTGAATGAATGAACACACCAACCAGGTAACTCTTTATTGGATGCTTGTCATACGCTGGGCTTTTGGGTGACTCTGAGGTTTCAAGCTTGGGTGATTTGGAGATGACATTACCATAAGTAGAAATAGGGATCTAAGACACGAGGGGAAGACAGTAGTTCAGTTTTGAACAGGCTGAGTCAGAGCTGCCAAGAGGAGAGGTCCAGCAGACAAATGTAAATTTGGGACTAAAACTTGTGAGAGATCAGGAAACCTTTCCTTCTCCACCTCCTATGATAAATACACACATTCAGAATGCAGTTTGAAAAGTACCCCTCTGGCCTTATTTCCTTTTTTTCCAAGTGGACCATCTTAACTAAAGTAGCAGTGCTTTCAAAATATCCTGAGGTTTAGCTTTCTCTGCTTTAGTCATAGCTGTATTTGTATCTTCTAATTTTTAGGCAAAATTTTGAGCGTTAATTAATTTTTTAAAAAGAGGTGGATATGCATAGTGATAATAATAATAATATAATCCCAAATCTGTATCTTCTATATTATCTCTACTTCATTTCAAGCTTATGATACTTTACTAATTAGACATACGTAATGTGAATGATGTGACTATCCTGCTTTCTATATTATAGATCAGGGTCAGCAAGTTCTATGGCTTTTGGGCCAGCCAGCTCTTTTTGTAAATAAAGTTTTATTGGAACACAGCCACGCTTACTTATTTACATATTGTTTATGGCTGCTTTGGAGCTACCGTGGCAGAGCTGAGTAGTTGAACACAGACCTTATGGCCTGCAAGCCTAAAATATCTACTATCTGACCTTTTTAAGAAAAGGTTTGCCGACTCTGTTTTACATGATCCTGTGTATACAGGCTCTAAAGTTAAAAGGAATTTTTTTAAAAAATCATCATTTTAAGGGTAACTTTTTATTTCTACCCAAAATCAAAAATTCAGTGCTGGTAAAGTTACAGTGAAACTGTACATTCATACACTACTGGTAGTTTTTCTAATTAGTATATTTTTTGGAAAGCTATATGGGGATATGTGTAAAGCCCCATAAAAATATTCATATCTTTGATCTCATAACACTGTTTTGGGGAATCAAACCTAGGAAATAATTCAAAGGAAGTATATATAAAAAGATATTTGTCTGGTATGATTAACAGTAGTGAAAAGTTGGACAGAACCTTAATGCCTTTATATTATGTGACTTGCTAATTAAATTGTTAATGTCACCTCATTAAGCAGCATTGACCATGGTAGTTTTGAATACTTATGTACAAACAGTGAAAAGTAGCATGTACATTGATATGTATATATTCATTACAGCTGTGTGTGGATGAAGAATTACATGCAATAAAAATAATTTATTTTAAATAGAGTATGGCAGGATTATGTTTTTATCTTATTTAAAGCTTTTAATTTCATCTTATTGTTCTCAGTAATAGAAGAGGGAAAAGATTTTTTTCTCCAACACTATAGTTAACGTTATGGTTTCCCTCAATACAGAGAGGAAAAAAATCCATACAACTTTATAGCCCTCACTTGTTCTACAAATGTCCTTTCCTTCATACAGTATTAAATTAGACATCTTTTCTGTGCCAAACAAAATGATTCGCTATTTTCTGCCTATTCACAATATGTAGGAAACAGATTGTCTTAAGGAAATGTTGTTCTGAAATTCATTTTAGTTAATCAGAGAAGAAATCTATTCAGTTTTTAGTTGCAAAAATGTGACTAGAGTATGTCTGATGACTCTCGACCTTTATTTGATTTTAGTTTTTTTCTGGTTGTGACAGAATGTTCTTGGGATGCAGCACAGAATATATGTTTTTTTAAAATTTAAATTCTATGTATAATTATATTTTGAATAGGTAGTTACGCAAATGGTTCAAAACTCAAAAAGTACCTAAGAGTGTACAGTTAAAACCTATTTCTCCTCACACCAGCCAGCTCCTCTTCCCCAGAGGCAACCAATGTTATCAGATTTTTGTTATCCTTTCAGTGATACTTAATACATATATAAGCAAACACGTGTAATTTTTAAAATTTCTTATATAAATGGTAGTCTACACACTATTCTGTATTTTTTTTTTTTTTTTTTTGCGGTACGCGGGCCTCTCACTGTTGTGTCCTCTCCCGTTGCGGAGCACAGGCTCCAGATGCGCAGGCTCAGTGGCCATGGCTCACGGGCCCAGCCGCTCCGCGGCATGTGGGATCCTCCCGGACTGGGGCACGAACCCGCGTCCCCTGCATCGGCAGGCGGACTCTCAACCACTGCACCACCAGGGAAACCCCTATTCTGCACTTTTTGTTTTGTTTTATTTTAGTAAACCTTGATGATAATTACTTATCAATATGCAATTCTTAGAGTAGGGAATTTTTTTTAAGATATGATACAAAAGCATAAGCCATCAAAGAAAAAATAGGTGAATTGGACTTTATCAAAGTTAAAAACCTTATGCGTCAAAGGGTACCATCACAAACGTGAAAAGAGAGAATGGGAGAAAATATTTGCATATCATACATCTCACAAGGTGCCCATATTTATATTTACATAAAGAACTCTTACAGCTCAATGATTAAAAAGATAAATAATCCAGCTTTTTAAACAGATAAAGGATATGAATAGACATGTGTCCAGACGAGATATACAAGCGGCCTATAAACACATGAAAAGATGCTCACCATCATTAGTTGTTGGGGAAATGAAAATCAAAACCACAATGACATACCACTGCACACCTGCTGGAATAGGTATAATCAGAATCACAGTAACAGGTGTTGGTGAGGATGTGCAGAAATTGGAACCCTCACACATTGCTGGAGGGAATGTAAAATGGCGCAGCCACTTTGGAAAACGGTCTGGCACTTCTTCAGAAGGTTAAATTCAGAGTTACCTTATTGCCCAGCAATTCCATGCCTAGTGTACACACCCAAGAGAAGTGAAAACTCGTACATGAATGTTCACAGTAGCTTAATTCATAATAGCCAAAAAGTGGAAACAGCCCAAATGTTCATCACCTAACGAATGGAGAAACAAAAGGCAGCGTATCTGTACAGTTGAATGATTATTTGGCAATAAACAGGAACGGGGTGCTGACACATGGACAACATGGATGAACCTTGAAAATATACTAAGTGAAAGAAGCCAGTCACAAAGGACCACATATTGTATGATTTCATTTATATGTAATATCCAGAGTAGACCAGTCAAATCTGTAGATCCATAAAGTAGATTTGTGGTTGCCTAGGGCTGGGAAGGCTGGTAGAAATGGGAGGGGGTGACTGCTAAAGGTACAGCGTTTCTTTCTGGAGTGATAAAAATGTTCTAAAGTTAACTGTAGTGATGGTTGCACAACTCGTGAATATACTAAAAGACGTTGAATTGTATGCTTTAAGTGGGTAAATTTTATGACATGTGAATTTTATATCTCAGTAAAACTGTTACCACTCCTCATGCCCTCCCAAAAAACGAGGCCTGATTATAGGTTCTTTACATCAGATGAACTCTAATCACCCAGGAAAAATATATATATTCCCCCCTCCTTTTTTTTTTTTTGGTTGCAATCATGGCTCCACCAGAGTTCGTTTAACTGGTCTTTTATTGATGGGAAATTTTGTGTTGTTTTTAATCTTTTATTATAGTAGATGGCATTTCAATCAATTACCTCTTATGTAGGTTACTCCATACTTGGGAAAGTAAAGGTGCAGGTAGAGTATGTTTATAGACAGAATGTCATTAAAAAAATGTTGTAGGGTTGTCTATGGGACAAAAGTGAGTGGTAATTCATTTCCATTTTTTGTTTTCTCTTTGTAGTAAATTGGAGCCACTGCCCTTCTGCTCCCCACACTTTGGGATCTTCATATTAAAATACATATTAGTCAAGCTTCTGTTTTTGGCACAGAAACTTCATTTTTTTCCCCCAGGCATGCCCAGGTCACATTGTATCAAGTGGCAGTAACTGCAAAGAAATTTTGTACCAGGGGATTAGCCTTCAAGGTTATTTCGAAGGGATCCATTTAAATTGTAAATATTAAAATAAAAATACTCCGGGGAGACATTTCCCTCATTGGGTCTAAAGGATATTTACAGCTGGCGTTTTCTCATTGTAGGAAATCGTGTCATTATCAAAACAAACGGATGCACACTCCACCTGCATCCTCTTCTTTTCTGACATATGCTCATTCAAAGAGGGAGTTTGTCCATTTGACCTCTGTTTTGCTCCCACAGACTTAGAGAGGGATGGACTAGTTATCTGTGCCTTTGCTGATACCCGGGCACTAAGTTATGCCTTTCAACACGCCTTGAGGGTATGAACCACATATTCTCCATTATTTGAAGAATCTATTCTGCCAAGGCAGACTTGCAACTGCCTAGCGTATGCTTTTCGCAGAAAAGGAAAATGAGTTCTTTGCCCTGTGTTTATAACTTCATTTTTTTCCCCATTGCTGTTCTATTTTGTGTACTTTTGAACCAGTTCTACAGTCTGGTTACTTTTTTTTCCCCATTGTTAGGTGCAGGGCACTTGAGATAAAGTCAGTGTTCTTGACTTCTTGGTTAATTAGTTATTCCTCCAATAACTACTTACTAAGTTTCTTTTATATTTAAGACTCAGTTCTAGGTGCTGCAGTATATGTATAGTATATACATTTTGAAACAGGGCTTTAGCCTTCAGGGAGCCTACTCTTTGGAGGTATGAAGCCCATGTAATAAAAAGCAGCAAGATGAGTGACCCAGGTGACGGCCAAGCTGGCAGCACAGAGCCCAAGGAGAAGGCTACTAGAGTCATTCTTAAGTTGAGGAGCATAGGCTGACCTGTGAGGGTGACAGGTCCGGGAAGGGGACAGACGTCCTAGGAAGAGAGGGATGGTAACCTTGGAGTTTGCTTACCATCTCGGTGGCTGGTTCTATCTCTGCAGTGCTCAACGGGGACCTTGGATTACATCTTACAGCGCTGCCAGTTGGCCCTGCAGAATATCCGTGATGAGGCGGACAATGGTGAGGTCTCTTTGAAATCCTTGGAGCCAGTGGTTTTGAAACACGGAGAAGAAATCCACAACGAGGTAAGGACTTTCAAGAACTGTGAAGATTCTCTCCTACTTGCTAGCTAACAAGTTATTCGGCCACAGTTTGCTATGAGTATAAGAGACAAGGGATGGTTCATTACTTACAATAGGAGTAGCCAGGGCATGAGCATTTTTGTGCCAGTTCTCCAAGCCTCTGTTTCCACAGGGTAACGCACAGTGGGCTAGATAGCATGTGCACTTGGAGGGGTTGTGTTCTAGAAGAGGAGCCTGACCTGAGGTAACCCGACTCTTCCATGATGGGCAGTAGGCATGTCTGTCGTTTGCTCCAGATCAAGACACATCTTTATCCTCCAAGTCTGTTAGCAATCCTACCCTTTATTCTGGAGGGAGAAACTCTATCTTCCAAGCGTGTTCACTATAAAGACATCCTTGCAATGAGAGTGTGAAGCAAAGGGCAAGATATGTAGAAACACAAACAAGAGACCCATGAAGGATAATCTTCCAGCAAGGACTGATGGAAACTGGAGGTGGATCCTTGGAGCAGGTGGACCCTTAGGAGCCTTGCCTTTTGTTCAGGAAATTAGTAGCGATTCTGCAGTCTGTGGGACCAGCATGTCTGGATCCCATGAGTCAGTGTTTCAAAAACTTTGTTAGTTTCATTAATACGTTTTCAATTTTTGCTCTGTCTTTGGACTACATATATTGTTATCTCTTCAATACTTTTAAAAGAATCAACTCATTTTTTATGTAAATAGAAGTTTTTAAAAAGGAAGCTTTATATTACCACTTTTAAGTGGAAAGCTGGTATCACTATCCAAAAGAAAAAGTAACCAGAAAACTCTAGCCTGTGAAAACAGCAATGTTATACTATTCCAGCAGACGCTTTTGGCCGGAGAAGGTTCGGAGCCTACAGTCTCTATTCTTCACGTTAAGAAGGAAGATTAGTGCGCAACTTCCTGTACATTCTAAAAGTCATTGAATTCTACACTGAAAATGGGTGAATTTTATGGTGGGTAAATAATACTCCCCCCCCCAAAAAAAAAACCCATTGAAATGAAAGTCAAAAAGAGATTACCAAGTGGTAGAGAATCTTTGAAGATTATCATCAATCAAAGACTTTTTTTTGGATATAATTAGAAGGATTGGTGGAGAATTAGAATACAAAAATGTTCTCAATCATCTCAGTAAATAATTGCTGAGCATGCGCGAGGCACTCTTTCTGGGTGCTTTCGGATATGTTGGGAAATAAAATAGACATTCTAGTGCAGGGAGATGACAATAAATAATAAACACACTACATCAGTTTATTATATAGTATGTTAGAAGTTGATAAGTGGTACCGGAAAAACCAAGCAGGGCAAGGTAATGGAGATTGAGAGGAGCAGGGAACACTCCCGCTGACAAGATGTCCTTTGTCCAAGGTTGAGGAAGAGAGCCATGTGGTTTTCTGGGGAACAGCATTTCAGGCCGAGGGAGACACCACTGCAAGGGCCGTGCGGGTGGGAGAATGCCTGGTGTTCGTGGACTGGTTCAGGGACGGTCCGCTGTGAGTGGCGGGAGTGAGGCTGTCAGTTGCAGGAGATGAGGTCACGGAGGTGGTGTGAGGGGACGGGGAACCGCAGATTGTATCAGTCGTTGGAGGTGCCTCTAAGGACAAGGGCTTTCCTTTTTACTCTGAGGGTAATAGCGAGCCGTTGAGGGGGTTTGAGCAGAGGAGAACAATGTTCCCACAGTGCCATGTAATATCTTTAAAAAGATATCTACTTATCTTACGAGCTGCTCCTCGGCTTGAGTAGAGAGGTCTTGAACCTGAGTAACACGTGTGCCAGTCTTCTCTAATCCCCCAGTCTTTGATTCTTCAAGGTCATCTTCTTACTTTCAGAATGAGTTCCATATGTCAGGACACATCATCAGATACTCTCCTTTGGCCATGCAAGTTGGCGTGCTCACGCTCTTCTGGGTTCTGTTGTTGAATGAGAGCACAAATGTCTATAATCCTTTCCACGGTTCTTACTGTTTGCTTTCCTCTTTCTTAAAGGCCATGTGCCTTTGCTGGACTAATTATAGGATGAAGCCCTTGGTTTCATGTCTGCAGTCTTTTGGGCTGTGTCGGTTTAGAAGTGGTTGGTTTTCCTTGTCTTAGATAGTTTCTAGCTGAACAATTTGGGGACTTTGGAGATTGGAACTGAGTACCTTAAGAAGATTTTTTTTTTTTCCAATTTAAGACGCTTAAAAAGATTTTTGGTGAGGTATAAGCAGAACCTTCCTCTGTGTTTATAAAATAGTCTGTTTTCCTTCTTAAAAATCATAAAATATGGAATTCAGTCTAGTCACCTAGTAAATTTCCCCTAGGAAAATTTACTATTTGATGTGATCATTTGGTTCTCATTTTGTTCTGATCAGACCTGCATCTTCCTTACAGCTACTGGGAAAGGGCTTTCATTGGGTAGCTCTTTGTAGATTGGACCTTAGCATCTCTTCCTGGTCTCATGTCTTTCTCCATGAAAAAACCTATTTCATTGATTACAGTGAGCACTGACCCCAATGGGCATGTTGCCACATGGGCATGATGGGCATGATGCCCAATGGGCATCTTGAGGGAAATGCATAAGCTGACCTGGGACCAAATCAAGAACCCAAACTAACTTGGCAGAAGTAGGTGTCATCTGCTTACCTGTAAGAGTGTTGGAAATGATTTCCAACTATACAGTGCCGTGGTGACTCAGAAGTATGGTTTTGGAATCTTACAGACTTTGCTCCCCAATGCCTAAATGTCCAGTGACTAAGGTTCAGGTAGGTGGGTGGATTCTGTTTGTGCTTCCCCTTCAGACTTTTTCTAGACATTTCTAGGAGAAAAGCTTTTCTTGATTGACCTTTTTCTTTTTTTTTTTAAATTAATTAATTAATTTATTTATGGCTGTGTTGGGTCTTCGTTTCTGTGCGAGGGCTTTCTCTAGTTGTGGCAAGCGGGGGCCACTCTTCATCGCGGTGTGCAGGCCTCTCACTGTCGCGGCCTCTCCTGTTGAGGAGCACAGGCTCCAGACGCGCAGGCTCAGCAATTGTGGCTCACGGGCCCAGTTGCTTCGCGGCATGCGGGATCCCCCCAGACCAGGGCTCGAACCCGTGTCCCCTGCATTGGCAGGCAGACTCTCAACCACTGTGCCACCAGGGAAGCCCTGACCTTTTTCTTTTTGACTATTCCATGGAGAAGGCAGGTGCAGGTGAAATAGGAAAGTTCTAGAGATGTTTCTCTGGGTCACAGCTATGTAACTAACACTATTGTGAACGTGTGTTCATTTTTCTTTGATGGTTCAGAAGGCCCTTCAAGATCCTGCAAGTTCCCTAGGCTGTCAGTGTGCCTTCTGATACCTGTGGGCATTAGGTATCTTTGCATTGTCACTGCACCAAAGATTGAATAATAGTGAATTTCCATTAAGTGTATGTCTGAAACCTGGGAGTTTGTTTTAAAAGCATCATGAACCCCGAGAGCACCTCAAGAGAGTTCCGGAAGCCGTGAGCCTCCCAGGAGGGACTGCACTCTGGAGAAGGGATGAAGACCCTCTTCCTGTCATGGCTAGCACGTTATCAGTCAGTCAATATGGTGAGACTGTGATTCTTTTTAGCCTTGAAGTAATAAAGCTTCTGTTCTGTTCTGAATCCTGACCCTTTGGTTTTCATGCAGCATCCACCCTGTGGCTGCAGCTTTCCTTCCTCATCCCCAGAGTTTGGGGTGGAGGGGTGCACACCTTTTTTTTTGGTAACCCAAACTGAATCAAGCAGCTGGAAATATTTTTTGCTTCCTTAATTAATTTTAAGGAGGGAGGCAACTGCTTCTCTTGGCAGTGTTAGCACTGGTGAGGGTGGCATTGGATGAATATCCTGTAATATTTTTTGCCCACAACATCGAAGTGAAAAAGTCAGGTTATGGAGTTGATTAAAATACATGCCAATGGGTTTGATGCCCACAAAGATTGTATCTCATGGGCAGTACTTCCACCCCTGAAAAAAAACTCTGTTGGGAATAAGCTTCAGGGTTGAACTTTTCTGACTGGCCTCCGTGGAACGGGGGTGAGCATGAATTGACATGATTGTTAAAACTTCTCTTGCTCAGAAGATTTCATAAGATTGTGAGATTCTTGAGGACAGTAAGTGGTGGGCCTTGTGGCCTCATTTGGTCTGTTTTCTTAGTATCTACCAAGTGCCTGGCATATGGTCGGCTGTTCATTATTAACCCACTTAATCCTCACCACAAACCTATGTGGTGATTATGTAATTATCCTTATTTTACAGATGACAGAACTATTCAGTAGTGGAGCCCAGATCTGAACTGACTCCAGAACCCTTATTCTTAACCATGACACTGTCTGCTTCAAAAGACAGTTGGGCATCTAAGGAGGAAGATAAAGTCATTATTTGCTAAAATGGACAGGGTCTTTCTTTGCTCTCTTGTCCAACAGCAATGTTTCCAGGTATGCCCCTCTCCTTGCTTCTGAGTTTTCATTTACTGAAATCCAGACTCTATTGTACCTTTAAAGGCAGAATGAACTAATTACATATGATAATTATTTTGCTTCCTGGGATACCATGGTTGCCAAGGTTTATATGTTTTGTTCTTATAATGGAAAAAACCAGCCCAAAGATAGAAAAACCCTTTCAGCTCTCCCAAACATAGGGCTTGATGCTTTGCTGACAGGTTGTTCCTATAGTGTGAATAAATTTTATGTGAAATCTATTAAAAAGAACTCTTTTTTTCTTGTAACAAATTATGTTGTTAAACCTGCATCTAAAGAGAAGTTGAACTACATTTGTATTCATTTTCCTTTCAAAGCAGTTAAGTTTACCTCTGTTAACCACTGTCTTTTAATACTGCAGATAAGGTTTAACAACTATTGTCTGAATATTGTCTACATTCCTCTTTTTTTTTTTTCTGTTTAAACAGCTTTAACTGAAATCAGTTCTACGTATCAAACAAACATTTAGTTAATGTAAACTAAAACCCTTTCATATGACTTGGTGTTCTCAGATTAGTTATTTGAGCCATTTTCACCAATGTTAAATCTTCACAAGTTGCTTTTGTTTGCCTCATGAAAGTTCAATATGGATAAACAAAACAAAAAAAATTCTTTGTGGTAACAGGTGAAGCTTATAATAGCTCTGTGCCTGTATATGGAACATGATTACCTTAGCAAAGCCAACCTTACTCAACATTAAGCTGTGAAAGCTCTACATTTCTTGAGACAACAGAGGTAGAAAGAGCTTTGGGATGAATGAAGTTGTACTTTGATTGTAAAATTTGATTTTCAAGTTGGAGATGAGTGAAAGAAAATAAGAAACAATTTCTTATTCTTTCAAAGCTTTACTCAGCCTCTCACCTACACATATTGGGATTATTTCAATTGCAGGAAGCAGAAAACTCAACCTGAATTAGTTAAGCAAAAAGGGCTTCAGGAATAGCTTGATCAAGGCTCAGTTGATGCCACCAGGACCCGGTTTTTAACTGTTCATCTTGCAGCTGCTTCCTACTGTGTTGCCCCCATTCTTCCCATTCTGCAAAATGTTTGAAGAATCCTCTTCCTGTATCTTCTGACAGTCTCAAGACTTACTCTGATTGAACATATGCCTGTTTCCCCCAAACCCAGTTATGTGACTAGGAGAAGTGTGGTGGGCTGATTGGCTCAGATTGGGTTGCACATTCCACTCCTGGTATAAGAGCTGGAGCTTTACCCAGACCACATGGACTGAGACTGGGGAAGGGAATGGATTATCAAATGAATAATGGGGTTTGGCTAGAATAGAATGATGCTAAGGAGGCAAATATTTGAAGTTTACCATACTAGGTTCATAGGAAGGAAAATAAATTAGTAGTGTCTTTACTGTTCTTTTTACCTATTGTCATTTGCCCTGACTGAACTGAAAATGACAATTTAAATGGCTCCGTAGGTTTTATGCCGCCGTAATTAACTTTATATTGTTCAAGTTATCTGAGTTGATGTTACCACCAGCCCCTCCTGGCCCATGGGTAAATTCTTTGTTTATTTTAGATCTAAGAAACTTAAAATTGATATCTTCTAATATGTGGCTGTGTTTTGCTCTTAATACTAGGTCTTTAAGAAAGACATTTAATGAAAACATACTTTGTTTGATTATATCTTTCCCATCCTACACAGTGCAGGCTGCTGTAAACTTTAGGATCTCAGGATTTGTTGTTGATTGACTTATAGTTTCCTCATGTCCGAGTGATGAACCAACCAACAACCTGGGTTGTCTCAGTAAGCTTTTTTTTTTGGGGGGGGTACGCGGGCCTCTCACTGTTGTGGCCTCTCCCGTTGCGGAGCACAGGCTCTGGATGTGCAGGCTCAGCGGCCATGGCACACGGGCCCAGCCGCTCTGGGGCATGTGGGATCTTCCCAGACGGGGGCACGAACCCGTGTACGCTGCACAGGCAGGCGGACTCTCAACCATTGAGCCACCAGGGAAGCCCTCAGTAAGCTTTAAGACTACTCTCTTCCTGACTTGCAAAAAGGCTCAGGAGACTCCAAGTTATATTGGGAACTGGTTAGGCTGAGCTTTTCTCACCTTTTCTCACCCTATGGCTGTGAAGTTACTGGAGGAGAACTGAGTGACGAAGTTTACTGTCCTTGATTGTCCATCATGGTGGCATTATAACCACGGTCTTGTCTTTATGATCCCCAGGTCGAGTTTGAGTGGCTGAGACAGTTTTGGTTTCAAGGCAATCGGTACAAAAGGTGCACCGATTGGTGGTGTCAACCTATGACTCAGCTGGAAGAGCTGTGGAAGAAGATGGAAGGCCTGGTAAGTATCTGGGACCGGATTTCCTGGGATGTTGTGCTCCGGCAATCCTCGGCTGCCTAATTTGCATGGGTAAAGGCAAGAGAAAGACAAGTATCATATGATATCGCTTATATGTGGAATCTAAAAAAAATGATACAAATGAACTTATTTACAAAACAGAAATAGACTTACAGACATAGAAAACAAACTTCAGGTTCCCAAAGGGGAAGGGGAGGCGGGGCTGGATAAATGAGGAGTTGGGGATTAACAGATACATGCTACTATAAATAAAATAAACAACAAAGACCTGTGTAGCACAGGGAACTATATTCAGTATCTTATAATAATCTATAATGGAAAAGAATCTGAAAAAGAATAGATTTATTTTTTATTTTATTTTATTTATTTTTGGCTGCGTTGGGTCTTTGTTGTTGCACGCGGGCTCTCGTTGCGGTGAGCAGTGGCTACTCTTCGTTGCAGTGCGCGGGCGTCTCATTGCGGTGGCTTCTCTTGTTGCAGAGCACGGGCTCTGGGCGCATGGGCTTCAGTAGTTGTGGCTCACGGGCTCTAGAGCGCAGGCTCAGTAGTTGTGGCGCACGGGCTTAGTTGCTCCGCGGCATGTGGGATATTCCCGGACCAGGGCTCGAACCCGTGTCCCCTGCATTGGCAGGCGGATTCTTAACCACTGCGCCACCAGGGGGGCCCTAGATTTATATATATATATGTATAACTGAATCACTTCGCCGTGCACCTGAAACTAACACAACATTGTAAATCAACTATACGTTAATTAAAAAATAAATAAAGACAAAAATCTCTAAATTAGTGAGTTAGGTTACTCTTGGGAAGGCAGTGGGAACAGCCAAGGATTTTGTCAGTACAAGCTTAGTTCCGTGCAGTGAACCTTTATTGAGCGTTTCCGACATGTAAGGCACCGTGTTAGACATACACTGGGAAGCGACGATGAGAACAGTACAACTCCTAAACTTCATTTGCATTTTTGTATGCACCAGGCACTATTCTAAGAGTTTTCCCTATATTAACTTTTTTTTTTCTTTTTTTTTTTTTT